CACTCAGCATCAAAAATAAGATCCGGATTTTCAACTCCAATGTGAAGTCAGTCAGTGCTACTATACGGATCAGAGACTTGCACTGGGCGTCGTAAAGAGCATCTCAAACAAACTACAGACCTTCATTAACAGTTGTCTTCGCTCAATACCACTCAAGATCAGGGGACCAGCCAGAAAAGATCAGCAACAGGGATCTCTGGCAATGAGTGAACCAATCAGGAACCGATTGTGAAACAAATAGGCAGGAGGAAATGGAGATGGATTGGCTAGCCATACTCTGGGGAAACCATCAAGTGACATCACTAGACAAGCCATCGCTCGAGTGGAACCCGAAAGAGAGGCGGCGAGTTGGTCGTCCAACGGTGACTTGGAGGAGGTCATGCGAGGAGGAGATGAAAGCATGTGGACAGACGTGGAGCAGGGTGGAAAAGTTGTCAGAAAACTGAAGGCAATGGAGATGCGCAGCTGAAGCCGTATGTTCCTCTAGGAACTAAAGGATACAATAGTAAAATGATGATAATATTAGGAGCTGAGAGTTCTGTGATTAAGTTTCATTTCAAATACTTACTTTTCATTCACGGGAACCGTTTAAACTTAATAATTCTTCAGTTTCAAATATTTTAAAAACGTATATTTCCTTGATGAGACCATAGGGTATGAACCATCAAAGTTTCATTTTAAGGACATTCACACAGGAGATTTTCGAGCCATTAATACTTTCAGATTCATCTATGAACACTTTCTTCTCTTCGTTGAAAGACTACCTCTGTTATTTTATGAAAATCCAGTAGACAATTGCACCTCAGTCCTTGCTGTAGACCTACCTAAATGTCATTTGAGTTGGATTAATTTTGATATCATATATATTCACATTTACTATAACTTGCGTCAGTTTTGGGCATTCGTAAATCTTCAAGCTTTGTCTGTGTATTCCCATTATTTTTCTTTCTTTTGATTTTATTATCATTGATATTTCACCTACATCTGATATTGGCGTCGCGTCATTCTTATTGCATACTTTAGGTTTAGATTTGATTAACAAAGATTCAGCTATCAAACTCTCCCTGCACCTAACAGTAACACTTCTTAGGACTGTAGCTTTGTCCCACTGTATTGTGTGATTGTGTGTTATTCCAAGCAGTGCTATGGTTACGTTCTTCTCTACACAGTTTATCTTCATGCAGTCAATCATTTGCCAGTTGGTTTAATTCTTATATTCGAGACTACTAGTCTGACCAACTTAGCTGAAGTCAAAGTAATTGCAAGGTATTTTTTTAGATAAAATAACTTTGTCCAATTCAGACAGTAGGGTTCTTCAGCTCACAATTCTGTTTCTTGTTTGTTTAGTAATCCTACGTAGGGTTTCAGATGTCCATTCGTTATATCTTACCAATGTGTATACCTAAAACGCCTTATTAACGTTCCATTGACCATCAGAAGAATTTAGAAAAGTCCACAAGTGATTCATATAATGGAAAGAAATCAGTAAACTAAGACAGTGTAAAAAATATCAGCTTACTTTGTTCCGTAAGTCTCTGGGTGAAATATGTAGAGCAAGTATTACCATTTCCTTGGTGGTTAAAGGTTGCACTAGAAATCGTTCAAACTCTAGACTAACTAATACATATGAGATGAAAAGGAAACTAAATGGCATTCAAATAGAGAATGATGAAACGATGGTTAGTTTTGATACAACTAGTCTTCACACTAATATGCCAAACAGTATGGCTTTAGAAGCAGTCAAAATAGAACTTATTGAAGATTCTGAACTTAGTCTGAAGACGAAGATGCCCATTGAGAAATTATTTTAGGAATTCATTTATGTCTCACATCTACTATCCTTAAATCCCAAGGTAAAATATATAGACAAATAGAAGGTGTAGCAATGGGACCGTTAATATCCCCTATCGTAGCAGGTATCTTTAAGGACAGCTGGTCAAATATTACTCTTAATACATTTAATCCTACTCCAAAAATATGGTGGGATAAGTAAGAAAGTTGTGTTAGTGAGTGACTTGATATGATAATGAGCAATAAATCGTGCTCGAAGCGTCATCAGTGAATATCACTGTATAACACTGTGAGACTTTGTCAAAATAAAGTTCACCCATAATGGAACAGGCCCTCATCTCAATGTTCGCTGTAGATGGTTAACTAGTTGTTTTTTGCATACAGAGATAAAGAGATACTTATAATGGTAACAGTAACCACATTGGTTGGAGAGAGCTAAATTTGGATGAAATCTCTACAAACCTGTCCAAGGAATTGAGCGAACTTAAAACATTCAGAAACGGTAACGGAACTGTCTGACAACATATATGACGCAAATTAGTAATCGTTTTATAAAGAAGTCAAATTACGATTGTAAATAGTTTGCGGTCACGTATACGTACATATATAAATGTAATTATTCACTGGATCACTGAAAATAATACTCTGATTGCAGTTAATAGGATTGAAAACTTTAATTTTAATTATCGATTTCGGTATAATCTATGCATGATTTCAAATGTTTTGCAGGTGTTCTGATTCTCTGATTGCTTACGAACCACTGTATAACTCAGTCTAAATCCCGTTTAAACCTGTAGACGTCCTAGTGTGGTTTCACCCTCCTCGAAAATAGTAGCTTACGAAGATCTATTAGTACGCGTAAAAGCAAGGAAAAGCTGAAAGTGAATTACTCTTCTTGTCAAGAAAACATCTTTCATTTGAAGTAGTCACTCAATAACACGATTGCTAATAAAACAGAAAATGTTCACATTGCACTTCTATACAGATTGTTTATTATGTGCTTTGTGCAGATTTTCAGCGACCAAATGTGTACACTAATATTTGTATATATTTTACAAGCAGTTGCCTGATTAAACTTATTTACACTAACAGATTATTTACTTAAATGCATAGAAATATCTAAAATATTGCATCAGTTGCAAACTAGTCTGATTCATATGATGGGTTTAACTGAATCCGTCTACCAGATGAAGGTGTGTGTATTATCTCGATTAAAATACTATAATCTTTGCCATCAGAGTACGGTTCTTCTCCGTTCAGTCTTCCTAGAGAAAGCGCCAGCAGAATATTTTCTTCCTGCATTTATAAGCCATGTCTTACTTCTATCAGTTATTTTAGAAAACACTCGTCAAGAAACTTTTAGAGACATTATTCCTTCAGAAGAGGTTACAGTTGCTTCCATTGGCCATCATTAAAATATGTTTCTTAATAGGAATTTCAATGTTTGCCTCAGTTAAAGTATACCAGAAAGTGTATTTTTGGTTGTGAAGATATCTTTTTCAAGGGGCTGAAGCAGTTTCATTTGGATGACTATCTTCTTTGCATCCACATAACTACTGGATTTGTTAAATCACATAATTTATAAATCAAATGAACTGTAGTCAAGATTTGACAGAATAGTTCTATAATATTTGGGCGCCGAGTGAGAAGTAGACATTTGTAAAAAATTATATTTGTAAAATCTCAGCGATATTGAAATGAGTAATTCCAACGTTTCGTTCGGCAATCTGGTCCGAACTTCTTCAGGGAAATTAATCGAAATTAACATAACAGGTTTATATATAAAAGGAACATCTTTAGTTTTTAAAAAACTTTGTCCAATCATGATTTATAAAACAAATATTAACAAGTATAATAAACAAAATTGTACGAGTTGTGATCAAAATTTGACCTCAGACTTACAAATATTGATCTACCTTTGTTAAACACTTTAAACACATTGTGTATGTGTGTGTGTGTGTGCGGATAAACAGTTGTAAAACAATGTCTTAACGTCTCCATAAGTAGATATAGACAGTCGGGAAACTTTGACCAAGTATTATTAGTTAGTGTTACATATCCATTCTTATTTATTAATTAATCAGGATTTCCTATGCGTCATCTAACATCACACCTTCATGTCTGTTCAAACTGTTAGTATCTAGAATTTTATGATTAGACGTATTTTCGAAATTATGGTGTTTAGGATTAGAGTTTAGTTGAACAACCCCGTCGAACTTATTACTTTGTCTTCTTTCTGAAAATTGAGCTGCTTTATTCGACCTACTGAAGTTGTCAGGTGACTGGACAGCTACGAATTTAGGATACGCATTCTGCTGCAGACAACGGAGAGTGGAAACACGATGATTGCGCCAATTACATAGTTTCGTTTATATATAAACCTGTTATGTTAATTTCGATTAATTTCCCTGAAGAAGTTCGGACCAGATTGCCGAACGAAATGTTGGAATTACTCATTTCAATATCGCTGAGATTTTACAAATATAATTTTTTACATAATTTATACCTTAAAATAATCTTTATCTTATATACGGAAAAAAAGAAAGGTTGTTTGAGATGTTGCCTCCAGTAAATCTCGTATTTTGAGTTAAATTTATCGTTAGCAATCACCACGGTTCCCTTAAGTGCTGGCTTGACATATACTTAATTTACACACCACATTAGATATATGTATATATTTCTATATCCTTAGAAATTACTAATATTTTATTATTTTCATCATTAGCTGTTTTATTGTTTTCAGTGTACTATCATAGTATTAAAGTCTTATCGTATTTTCTGATACTTCAAGCTTTACTTACATTGAAGGTATTTACTGTATAAGAGTTTAACACATTGTAAAAACAGTTTTCGCTAAATTGAAATATTTGCCTGCCTGATAAAAATATTTAGGTACTTCAGACAACACTGAAATCATGGCACTCCATAGCCGCTTATAAATATACATATAAATATGAATAACACACACAGAGAAACAAATGTTCCTGTAGATCTCTGTTCATAGTGGCTACTTAACCTGCCCGCACCGATTATTTTGCTCATAATAATTACGTAAGCTTGTGTTAACTTAATATTCTTTTGAGTATGGAGATAGATAGAGTTTTGGTTATTTCGTTCGAAAATCAAATACCGAACCTAGCCAAAGTAGTCCTGATAATGAAACTGACTCTTTTTATTCTATTCTGTATTCCTTGAGATGAAATAGAATACAGCACAAACAATTTCATTAAACAATTCTAGAAATTAAATCACAAGTACAGTTTCCTAAAATCACAACAAATATGCTTGTATTACATTGAGAAATAGAGAAGAATAGTTAAATTCATTGATTATTTCGTTGACGACAATAGAATTCAGCAAAATGAGTAGATTCCATCTCACTGAATTCATTTTTGTTCTGAAGTTCTCGTTCCGCTCATTTCACATCTCGCTCAGCCTTAACAAGCTAAGGATTTGTAAATAACTCGGAAATAAAAAAATAGAATTAACACAAACGAAAAGGTGTGGGACTGGTGAAATGCTTTAAGTAAAATCTTTTTATTGATTCAGTAGATTATCATTAACAACGTTTACTTCAAGTATATAAGTGAAATACATTTCTATGTCAAAGTTTATTATCTGTTTTATATTTCCGCTACATGCTTGAGAAATTATTACCAAAGTTCATAAGTGTAGACGTCAACCACACATCCAAAAATTGAAACATGAAACCAGCGTAAAACAAGGTGATGAGGATCCAGTGAAACATTGTGGCTAGAATATAGTCGTCATTAGAATAAGAAATACGTTTCCCTCCAATAAGCATCTGGCCTTCAATCACACTCAACTACAAAATAATGAAAAATCTCAATAGCAAATAGACATCCGCATACAAATTAATAAAACTTTATTTCCCACTAACCGTCTACAACTGCAGACAATAATAATAACCATAATATTAGTGCCTCAGTGACTGATGGAAGTAATTATCCATTTATATACAGACTACTAAGTAGGTTTATTATTTCTTCTATCTGACGTCTATTTTTTTCACACAACACCTATGCTAAATAGAAAACAGTTGAACTTTATATATGACCATACTGGCATGATATCTAGTAAAATTAAAGTCTCTCCTAGAAAGACACAAATGAAATGCTGCGCAAAACTGAGGCTGTCCAGTACCTGTCAAGATTACTTTTATCAAACGTTTGAATGAATTCAAATGTTTGTTGATAGAATTGTGAATTAGTTTGGTCTAGGAGGAATCAGTAAGCCTGCCTACTGTCTTCAAATTCAATGTAGTATTTTGAAGCCTTTTTTTTCTACAGCTGTGGAAACAAATGAGAGGCAGAAATAAAGGACAGTGAATAGAATACCTGATATAGTAGCACTGAAGAGCAGCGCCTCATATATACATGTAAGAAAGCTACAGCTTCAAACAAAAGATCACTTTTGAAATCACCAATATATGAGACAACTAACAAAGTTTCGAGGAAACACTGAAACCTTTATAAGTAACATTTGCCTTATTTTCTTCAACAGCACTTTCAGTATTGTAAAAATCATGATAGTGAATTTGTACATACAAGTCCTGTTTACGATGCAACTGAAACTAACAATCTAATACTTGCGCATAGCAGTTTGAGACCATCTTCAAACCATTCATATGAGAACAATGGGATGTAAATACTTCTAGAACACAGATTCTCAGTTCGTTGGAGTACCTAATAAAATGCGCCTTCGGAAAATATGTTACGTTATATGAAGAGAAAGACAAAGGTACAGTACTATGTTATATTGTATGAAATAAAATGCAAGCTGGAGGTTTAAAGATTCAGTCTGTTAGTACAAGCCGCCAGAATTAGCCATAAAAGCTACTACGGGAAATATAACTAACAAGTCAACTAACTTCACTGAATATCCTCAAGCAAATCAGAATTCTGAAATGTAAATATGATGCTATACACAAGTACCTATATCATTGTCATTGACATTAAAATAGATTCAGATAATCGATGTCAATCGGTTGTAAATTTCGCCTTGAAATAAATAAAGTAAGACACATACGAATACAGACTAGACTTACGGGAATAACACTAGCAAGTATAAAAATTCCGACAAGGTGATCAGCAACCTGAAATAAAGGAGAATACTTATTCTCAGGTGATGGATATCACATCATCCATTACTCAGTCTACAATTCAAGATTATTTAGTACTTCAATTAGTCCTTAAAACGCCGTATTTTGTTTTGTTTAAAAATGCATATTAGTTAAATATGAAAATCAGAATGAATTGACATCAAATTTTAATTTAGCAAAATTTATGCATGTTTGTGATTTCCCGTCAATGTATTTATCAGCATTGAACAACTTCTGTTTAGTATATAAATGGATGTCTTGAATTTATCAGTGTAAAGAACTCGAAGTTCGTTGCGCAGTGATGACTCGTATCAGAATTCAGGAAGTGCTATTCATTCAGTTTGGAACTCACTAACCAAACAGTAATGGCATCTTCAACTAAACAAGACTCCAAGATCCATCGCTTTAAATTCTAAGGCGTTAGCCCCTAGACTACTGATAAATCCTATGTAAGACGAAACATGCTTCTTCTCTTTTACTGCTATCAACACATAAACGCGTGTCTTTGAAATTAAATTAAATTAAACTTTTTATCGATGTCATCCGAGGTATTCCTGTTGATGAAATACATACAAAGAAAGAAGAACAGTTAAACATTTTACAACTGTGTATTTACCGACACTTACCTGAGAAATCTTAACACCGTATAGAATGCCGCAGACAATAAATCCAACAATGATAACGCACCCAGAATAAATACTGAATAAATTAAATTTCGTCGTCAAATCCACTTTGATTTTTAAGGCGAACAAGTATGACACAAATGATAAACTGATAGCAATTATCCAACTTATGAAAATGAACATTCCATACTCAAATATGGAAAGGCAGGTTATCACTCCATCAAAGCTGATTGTCTGAAAAACAGAATTTATAGAAAATATTCTGAAAAAGATCATCTCAGTGGATGGTAATTATTTAATTTTGTGAATATGGTACATCTAAAAAGTGTGCTTTAAAATATTTCCTCCTTAGGACTTTCCTTAATTTCTGAATTTGTCTTGATTAATCTCATTGATGATAACCTAGACATATTCTGTTAGTAGTGGAATACACCAAAATGGTCTGACTTTAGGTGTTTGTTGTTAACATGGTGACAGTAATCCTTATTGTGTTTTAGAAGCACGAAAATTCCATATTTCAAAACCTAATACATTGTAGTGACACTCTCATACATTGTTACCATTTACTTCAGTAGATTTGTAGCTGAGATGGATGGTTATATTGCTGTTGGATACCAAATACTGGATGACTTTATTGTGAAGACTCTAACATCGATATCATCAGTGGATTCTCTGAAATTATAATTCATCTATAATTGTATTGCATCTCACTGGCTGAATAGCAGTGTGTTGGCTTTGCAACATGAAAGTCTTTGTTTCGATTCCTTGTTAACTGATGAGGAGTTTCAAAGTAGAATGAAACACTACTGTAGTACTCCCTGACTTTTAGGCTGTTTCACTTTGGTGAAGTTAGTTCGTGATAGAACCTAAGTTGGAATTAGTTTAATGGTTGAAATAAACAATCCCCAGCTTAGACTGTGGCTTTTCTTAAGCTTTGCCTTGCTGCCAACACATTTTTATAATAACACTCGTGTTATGATTTTGCATATAAATTGAAGAGTATCTAATGTGAAGAACATAGGCAGAACTTGAATCAAGGCTTTGACAAACAAAAATAAATAACATGTCGACTAAAATGTGTTCAACAAAGTTTCAATAGTTTACTGTTATTCTCGACGCATCTAAACTCAGTTTCTCACCTAAAATTCACAGTTTTCATTTATGTCGAAACAATATTTCCTAGTCACTGGATTCAAGGTCAAAACTGTTGTGAAAGATTTGTCAGCTGCGGAGTAGAGTTTCAGAGTCACTCCAGAAATCACTTCAGAGTCCAGAAATATCATATGGTAGTTTGATGTTCAGAAACTAATGTAATTGTCATTTTTAAGCGAAACTTAAAGTGAAACATTCTATAGTCAAGCACTGATATGCACACATGTATACATTAGTTTGTAGGTAACAAAGTGTGTTTTCTCAATTGCTTATTCTTTATGATCGTCTTCACTTCTGTTAATACTTTTACTCCGTAACAAGCATGTATCATTACACATCGGAAGGAATAACTAGAATCTTGACAGGAAATTGTAATAAATACTTGCACTAATATATTGTATGTCAAACAGTTACCACATAAAAAAAGAAGTCAAATACCCAGAAAAAGAGAAATAAATTGGTGTTCAATTATTATTTATAACTCACAAAGACGATAAGTAATAGGTAGTTGTATGGCGCTTTATGCTGAAGATCTCTTACAAGAAAAACAATAAGTGTAATACCAACTGACACAGTGCTGGTAAATAAAATACAGAAAAAAGTAAAACACTTTCAGCTGAGGTGTAACTTTGGAAGTTGCAGTATGAATGTCAGTAAAATGGAATCTGGGATATATGTTTCTTACCAAATGGAATTCAACTCTAGTCTAGGATATGACGCTTTGGTGACTGGAACGATGAGTAGTGTTATCGTGTCAAAATGACAGACTATATTGATAAACTCTTAATTAATCCCCAGTCATGTAAAATCACAACAGGTTAAATACTTAAGAGTATGTATGCGGGACACCTATACTGGATTTCTGATATCTGTGAATGGGACCATAATGTGATAGATAGTTCAGAACAACTATCGCAGTGACAAACCATACCTGTATATGCCTTGTTTTCAACAGTTTAAGTCGCATTTTGGAGGGATGGAACCATGAAGAAAGTCAAAACTAACCGTATAAATGTGTGTATGATTTCTAGCATTTTCAGAAGTATGTTGCTTTAACATTATGCAGCTGACATCGAAATATCAGCAATCATCAGTACGTTATTTGGTATTAAAAGTGTATCAGATACACAAATTTCACTAACCTGAAAATAATGCTCACCCAAAAGTTCTTATAAAGATAAGTTATCACTGCATCTCTACATTATGAATACGAGATGATAATCCAAATCTGACTTACATAGATTCCACTATTGCAATGGTAAATATGGTAAAAAATATTTGCGTGATAACAATCACGAACACCTGCCAGAGAAAGCAATATCTACTTTTACTTGTTACCTTCGCAATGAATCGGTTCCGTCTTCTGTGCAAAGCACTATTCACTTTGTTAGCAGATTGATGTACCATGTTCATATCTCTAATATTGTTAGAGAGCTTTCTCAAGTCCTTTAACGAAAATTATGAGGAAAGAACATTGCTAGTTAATTAAAGTATTATCAGAAAGATTGAACTTATTCCTAATTAGTTTATCAAGCTATGAATGACAACAAATATGTTTATATAAGACATCACACCGTGGCTGACATGTTCATACACAGGTGAGAAATATGGTATTCACACCAATACGTGAATAAGCAGGAAATTAAAGACAGATAAACATGATGACGTATATATCTGTTTAAGCGGTTTGTGTTGATCACTACTTTCCTGAGTAACCATAAATGAATTGCCAGTGGCATTTCATATTTCCTTGAGAAATCTCAGAGTAAAGTAAAAAATTCTTATGAATCCACTTTGAACGCCCTAAGATTCGAGTGACCGACAATTCGCCTAAATGCTGAATCATAAAAAAGGCAACACGACACTACTGTTAAGCTACCTAATGTCAAAGTTTGTCAAATTTCAGCTGCTTAATATGCCCAAAAGTGGAAAGTTTCATTAAATTATTCAGGTATTTGTCACCAACACCAATAACGTATTACTGAACATATTCCATGCTCATTATGAGTCTAGAAAAAGTATTGAAATACGAATTAGGTCTTCTGTTTCAACAGTGCTTTATAGTGAAGTAAGCCAAAATGGAAGAATTCTAATATGAAGAGTGGATCATAATAAATCACTCATCACAACAAGTAATATATTACATACCTTTGATTCGTCATTGTGAGGCATTTGTCAAAAATATGAAAAGAATTTTGAGTAATGTACATAAACAGATTCAATTTATCAAAATGTTCGCAACATGACTAAACTTATAAATACTTGTTACGTTAGTATCAATAACAAAAATGTACACAATAGATCAAAGTCCGAATTTAATAATATCCATTCTTCTAAATGAGTAACATGAGAATAATTCAAATATGATGTTTGGTAAACTGTGTGTGTGTGTGTTGAAATACGGCTGAAAATCAAATACCGTTAAAGAGCGATTTTATTTGAAAAAAACGTTGTTTCATCACACTGTAATCATTATTGATGACACTTCGAGCACAATTTTTTGCTCATAATCTCATTGAGAACTGGCGAGGGTCCATTCATCTGTTATATCCGAGCAAAAATTAGGCCATTTCTTCCTGAAGAGATTATAAGATACTGTGGATGCGAAACTTCACCGAGAATTAAATTATACGTTGATCAAATTTTAGCGCTACGCATCATCATCCAATAAAGCATGGGATAGCAGTCTAATATCTACCTCAACTTTGTCAACTTTGAAAAGGATTTTGGCAGCACTAACCACGAAGTGTCTTCAGAGATGTTCTTAGACTTTGAAGCGAAGACAAGATTAAGACAGGACTGCCTTCAATCCCCGATGATACATTTGATTGTGGTGGACTACATCATCCAACAGACTGTGTGCAGTTGTATCACAGACATTCGTTGAACTGATAGGAATATTTTAGAAGATTTTAATTTCACAGGCGATGTATGTCTAATGTCACATAGTCTTGAGGATATACAGGCGAAAATCAGTATGTCGGGAAAGAAAGACGTGACACCATGAGAACATGGAGAAGGTGGAGGTGATGAACATAACTCACAACAAGCATCAATTAACATTAACGACAGAAATATAAAGTAAGTCACATAGGATACATAGTATGAAAAAGAAATGGAAGATTATGAGTAATCATGGATATGATTATGAGCACTAGTTTGTGCTCGAAACGTCATTAGTTAATATTACTGTATGACACTGTGTGACTTATCAAAATAAAATCTTATTCATAATGGAGTTATACTCTACCACAGTGCCCAAGTTTTATACTTATAAGAGTAATCATGAAGCCATTTAAAAATGAATTCAGAGAAAAGAGTGAAGTGGTGATGTACCTTTGACGCCAGTATTCTACACGGAAACCAAGGAAATAATAATAAAACCACATTACTGTGATACTACACTAAATAGACAAATTAGGTGACTTGTGAATATGAAAATTAAAACTCTTTCATTGGAAGAGGTTATGTCTAGTTGTGTTTCTGGGCATTAGCCTTATATTTTATTTTATTTAATCTTCTGATTTCTTAAGTCATTCAGTGTATGCAGTCGTTTCAGTTTAATATTCGATTGGATCATTTGCAGTTTAATTAAGATTCAAAAGAATTTGAACTGTTGGTTGAATACCATGTATCACTATGTCAAGGAGAATGATAAACGGTTTTATAATGAAGTCTATCGATCCACATCAGTATCCTTCCTCTCTACAGACTTCGATAAAGACAGGTTTCATGCATTCTATGAGCTATAAGTAATAGAAATGTAGTGTTACTATGATGCTTCTCTTTTCTCATAAAATGGGCGTAGTCATATGGATAGTTCTTTCCTTTCATGTTTAATAATTAGAGTTACAGACACTAATCATAGTGAGATTTGCACTGGAGATGTTGTCTTGAAGAACAATGAAGGCTAAACAATTAAACCATCCAGCTTATTGAACAGAAGTGCATGCATATCCATTGTCTTATGTTGTGCCGGTTTTGTCAGTTACATGTTACTGATCCACTGAATGTGGCTCTTGTGCTTGAGCTAGTAGATATTCCTACGAGTTCACTTAAGCTTCAGACTTCTCTGTATGCAGAATCAGTCATCATATTTTCCCAGTCTAATAATCATTTTTTCCCTTACATTCCCAGTGGAACTTAGGGCCTCAAGCTAGTGGTTTGAAGTTTCTGTAGAAGTGTTTAATTTTACAGGATGGGGTCGCTAGCCTCATACCCAACCTTTCCTCTTTACCAGCATTATTTCTGGCTTAGAGAGGTAAAGTAGTGCGTCGGCCGAGGATCGAAACCCGGACCATGTGCATGGTCGGTGAGCGTCCTACCCGCTGTGCCACCAACGCACAGGTCTAATAATCATATATCATTAATAATCTACATCCATTTGCCTCTGTAACCTTCAGGAGATTGAGCCACGCAAATACTATCCATTAGGCATTATAGCTGAGAAAACACACAAATAACTAACAGTTAGGATTCGGCTTTCATTGTGGAATGCCGCATGAAGAAGCACTGGTTTAGAATACTATTCAAGTGGGTATATAACCAAACTACTCTATATACGTATATATGTATGACAGCTTATGCCTGTCAACACAACCCACATAAAGGTAGAGATACACAACATTAGAATTGTTAAGAATTTGCAAAGAATACTAACATGAAAATAATTAAACTGTAGTCTCTAATTACATTTACATCCACGCTATATCGAAAATTTAAATAGACTTAGGAATAGAATATGATTGGTAACTGTCGTTCTTGAAATCAAGATTTCTGCGAGTGAAACAGCGGTAAAGTGACAAGCATTCACCTGTAAAATAAGTGTCATGGAAATTGGACCACTACTACATTGAAACATTATAAACTGATTAAAAAAATTCTAAGCGAATCGTTCATAAGGCATTTGATTTGGCTATTTCTCTTAACCATGCTGGAATTATATTTAATGATTTATAATGATCCACTCTGTTTCGGCGCTGAAATTATTCCAGGAAATTCGCATTATTAACGATCTGACTTCAAAAACGTTGGGAATACATTTTCAGTACAAATATGTAGGAGTATAAACATAACTTTTTCACATTTCCAAATAGTTCATTTGACTTTGGTGTTATTTGATCTTTCTAAAATGGATCAACGTAGAGGCATCTTTTTGTCACACATGCTGTACTTTCAGTTTTATCAAAATACGTGTTCATAAATCATATTTTGATGATAGTTTTGTGAAAGCATTCATGGAATTTATAAATAAACTCTGAGAAACATAGTATCGAAGTTCTGACACAAATTACAGCAGTTTATTGTTACATCGCCTAGGTTATATTTGGCGGAAAGACGAAGAATACGTCACTTGCATCCGTAATGTCTTAGTTCCTTTTATTCAATTCAATCAAATAGTACTAACTGATACACTTTCCAATATGCTAGTTGAGTCGCCTATCCACTGTGCTTTTATATACACCAAAATATTTGGATAATTTTTATGATATTGAGGTATATATCAGTATGTATTTTGAATATATTATTATTGCTTATTACGCGGTCGAATATATATATATATCAGGAGAAAACCGAATTTATCAAATTAATAAATATTCCTTGATATTTTCACATCACCGATTCGTGAATGTATCTAGAAAAATGTTTATGGATATGGTGTCATTTATTTCAGTTACTGATTCATGAAATGCAGCAAAAGTTCATTATTCGATTAAAACTGTCGAGAAACTTAAGGGGGATATTGTTTTATTCTGAAGTTTGATATTTACATGTTTGTGAAACAGTATTAGAAATAGTAATTTCAGTCATACACAAATCTCAAAATTAGATAACTGTAGTTGCGACAATTTTTGACGTATTCGATTTCAATGTAACTGTATTTCTAGAATGGTGCCTCTATTGCAAACATGATTGATAGAATTCAGTTCGCACCAAAGAAATGGCTAGACACGTTACACTAGTTACTAGTGTCCAGTCAAAGTATCCACTACAGTCCTACAGGAGATCAGTCGCAAACCCAAATAGCTCAGCGGTAATGTCTCTGACTGCAGCGCTGGGTGACGCGGGTTCGAATCCCAGAAGGAAAATGAGTTCCTTTGAGGTCGCAGATACGCCTTGGTGACTGGTGATTGCCAATTGGCACGAAAGCTAGGTGAAAGGCTTCCTGCAGACCACCTCCAACCATCTAATATCATCAAATCAGTGTGCACCGTGATGACAACCTACCTAGAATGGTGGCTACATTGCAAACCTGACTGATAGAATTCAGTCTGCACCAAAGAAAAGACTAGACACATCAC